GCCTCCAAAGCGGTTTGGGACCTGGCCGGGCGCGGCTCGGTCCCGTGTGAACGCGTCTCTGTCTCCGCTCCAGAGCCCGTTGGAGAGACGCTGTTCAAGGAGGGGAAGAGCCCGACGTGGGGCTCGCTCAGCCCCGGCGTGCAGAAAGGTAAGAGCGCGACGACTCTTCGCGCCGGTCTCTCCGACGGAGCCAGCTCCCAGCGTTTACACGGCGCTTCGCCTCAGTCTGCGGGGATCTGGCGCGTCCTTGGGCTCCGACGGAGCGGCGGGTTAGAGACATTAGGGCGACCCCAGCCCTTTTGGGAAAGGGGGAGGGACAAGAAGCTGTAGGACGCTGCAGGGGGACCCCGTAGAGCGCGACGACTCTTCGCGCCGGTCTCTCCGACGGAGCCAGCTCCCAGCGTTTACACGGCGCTTCGCCTCAGTCTGCGGGGATCTGGCGCGTCCTTGGGCTCCGACGGAGCGGCGGGTTAGAGACATTAGGGCGACCCCAGCCCTTTTGGGAAAGGGGGAGGGACAAGAAGCTGTAGGACGCTGCAGGGGGACCCCGTCTCCCACGCGCGGGGAAATTGCACGGGTGGGACGGCTGCTTTTCGACCCCCGGAATTTAGCTCCGCGGCATCCGCGCGCCGCGTTCCGGGCCTGGACCCAGATCCGGGAGACCGGGGCTTTCTTTCGGGGCGGGGCTCAGTGGGAACTCATTTCCCCCCTTGAAATCCCTTCCTCCAGACCCGGCGCCTCCACCTTCCGACAAACCCCGCTGGATTCCTGGAGGCAACAGAGGGAAACTCCGCCCCCCAACCTACACCCCAAAATCTCCCCTGGGCTAGGGGGAGGGGAACCCACGGGAATGGCCGAACTGGAATCCGAATTGGCCGCGAACTCCTGGGCGCTACCCGCGGCGTCGGAGCCTCGCACGGAAGCGAGCCCTGGGGGTTCGGATCGGAGCATTCCCATTTGCTCGTTCGCAAATTCGATGCGGAATAAAATTTCGATGTGAGGCTTTGGGGGGAGGCTGGAGGCCGCGTGCCGGCGCCTT